CTCTCCACCTCCTAAATAAATTAGCAGCCATTAAATGTGAAGGTTAAAAAGAGCAAGAAACAGAGGATTAAATTACACAAGGCAGGTTTGCATGTACATTATTTTGATGCGCTGTAAAATAATCACTGGGGAATAATATGCTTGTAAAGAAATGCAATCTGCTACCATGATGTCCTCATTTGCATATCTTAATGAGATCAGTTAATTTCAACTATGTGGGGGTGGAGTTTCCAAACATAGGCTGGCCAGACTGAACTCAGTTTACATTTTGTACAGACCTAGCAGCCATGCCTCTGAATTGGGGCCCACGTACTGCAGGTTGAAAAGGTCTAGAGCAGGCCTGCACAACTCGTAAAGCGGCGAGGGCCATATTACTCCAAAGAAAACAGCTGAGGGCCGAAACCCCCTGGCCCCGCTGAACCCCCCCCCAGCACCGCCCAGCCCCCCTGAAACACAACACCACCACCCCAGCACTGCCTGCCCCATGGAAGCCCCCCAGTGCCACCCAGCCTCCCCCAAAACAAAACAACCCCTCACCCCAGCGCCACCTGCCCCGCAGAAACAAACCCTCCTTCCCCATGGCTGCCCCACCGAAACAGCGGTATTGAACCTTGGTAATATGTTATAGCGGGCCTCTAAGGTAGTATAATTAAGGTAAAAAAAAATGTCTTTTTGCTAGAAGTAGAATAAGATCTTCCCCCCACTTGGTAATCATTGCCCTGTTCAATGAATGAGGTGTGAATGAGGAAGGCATGGAAGGCAGGCACCTTCAGACAGCTGCAACCTTTGGAGAGGGGATGGGAGCCAGACCAGATCAGTAGAACAGGTCAGCCACTGACTCGCTGCTCACCTCCTCAGCCCCCCACACCCCCGACTCGCCTACCTACTGCCCACCCGCTCGCCTCCTCAGCCCCCCTCCCTCACCCGTCACTTGCCTACTCACCCCCCGCGGGTCGCACAGTGAGCCCACGCGGGCCGCATGCGGCCCCCGGACCACATGTTGTGCAGGCCTGGTCTAGAGGGTAAAGGCACAGTCTGCCAGGTTAGCACAGGCACACGCATCGTTCTGTGGCGAGTCTTGCCTGCAAGACCTAGAGTGGCACAAGGTAGCAACTGTCCTGCTTTTTGCTATGGTAGAAGGAGAGGAGCCAGGCAACGGCTGAGCTAGTGGGATCACAAATGCAAAACCTAGAAGAAATACAGGAGGCTGAGAATGTATGTGACCAGTTAAGAAAGCAGAGAAAGTGCATTTGTTTCTTCAAGTTCCACAGAGCAGGGAAACAACCACAGGTAGTTTTGGACAGGGTTCTGTCTAGTGACCATGGAATTCGCAGAGTGAATGGGAAAGAATCGAGGGAACAAGTGCCCAGCTTGGGCACAGAGGGTGAGATTTTCAGCTCTCATTTAGGCACCAGAATAAACAGCCAGATTTGCAGAAGAGCGCAGCACATGGGATGCACGCTGGGTGTGGAATTCTTTAAAAAGCTAGCCAGGAATGTCACAACCGGAGCGGCTGGGTGCTGAGCACTGCTGAGAAGCTGACCCCACCTATCTATCAGAGGCATTTCTAAGGCACCTATCACTGTAGTGGCTAGAAGCAAAGCACAACACAAAGGCTCAGATTCAGTTGTTCTCTAAAGGACTCTGCTTTTCACCACTTTGCTCTCAACATTTCACCCCTCCCCTGGGCTAGACTAGATGAGAATGTCTATGTTCCTACTGCGGAAGAGCAACAATACAACACTGAGGGCTGTTTGCTGCAAAGCCAAGCCATGAATAATGGGAACACTGGCTGGGACACAGACAGAGAGCGTGTTCTCTTTACTCCTGGCATTGGAACTGTGCTGGTAAAACAAAGTGCAGTCACATCTCAACAGCTCTGCCAACATCTACTTTGTCTCCTTCTCCAAACCCCTCCGTCTTTTGCATTTAAACAAAAAGCCCATCCAGAACATATTAGCATTTATTGCTCTGCTGTGAGTTTAGTGACGGACAGACCTGGCAACCAAAGTCTTTTACTGAGTCACAGGACAGAGGCCTACACTTATAATCTAGATCAACATAGCTACATCACTCACTAAATTTCACACCCTTGAATGCTGTAGCTACACCAACGTAGTCCCATAGTGTAGCCGTAGCCAGAGGCAGTGGGAGCCACTCACAACCCTGCCCTGCCAACATTCCTCAAGGCCCATCTAGAGGGCTCCCTCTAGGGCTGACAGAAGGGAAAGCTCAGTCTCCCTTGGCTCATTCAGTCCTTGTCTTCAGAGGAGACTGTGCAACAGGGGCTGATTAGTGCAGTTTGTGACAGTGGTTGTGTCCCACTGACACTGGGAAGTGGAGCAGGATTCTCCACACTGATTTCACACATACCAGCTGGGCTACAAGGCTTTTTGTACAGTAAAGACAATGTGGAACATTCTCCTAAAGTGGCCATGTTGAGCTATCTCCATCTCACCTTTTCCACTGCTGGGGGTGGGAGAAGGAGATAAGACCGGGATGCCCGTCAATGACGATCGTGGGCCGGCACCAGTGTAAATGAACCCCACCTACAAATGACCCTTTGGCTATTCCACTTTGCTGATTTTGTCATTACATTCTGCAAGGAAAAAAAATATTTCTCAGGAGACTCATCATCATCCAGAACCTTGTATGGGAACAAATCTTACAGGGTAAGTAGATGGGGATGCAAATAAATAGCCCAGTGAATTTAACCTTTATGTCTGGTCATAACAGCTTTTGAACCTTCCTGATTTCTGCATGTGAAGTCATTGTTTGCCAAGGATTTTCAGCAGACAGGGATCTGTTTCTGATTCACCTTTGTGAACACTGGTTTTGGAATTATCACCAGCAGTAAGAGTAACAAATGGCAGAGACATGGAAATCCAAACACTCTTAGGGCTAGGAAGAAACTCCCTGAAGGCTGGTTATCCCAGAACTGCAGGGTGTCTTTCATCCTCCTCTGAAGCAGCTGGTGCTCACCTCTCTTGGTGCTGGGATAGATGGACCATTAGTGTGATCCAGTCTGGGAATTCCCATGTGAGTATAGGTGCTTGTCCAAGTGAGTGGCTATCTACAGAGTGTAAAGATGAAACTTATAAACTCTCTCCTGCATCACAGTCCAAGGTCTCCCATGCGATCTGACAAACCCTCCTCCCCCTCTGCTCCCATTCTCTTGCGATGCCCTCTTAGGATGAATCACTCTGTACCTGCTTTTCCATCTGTTTTCCCATCACTCTTGGAAACAATTATCTTTGTCCAAGCAGCACTTGATCTATGCACAGAGTTCCCCTTTCTGTTGTCTCCAGGTAGACACAAGAGCATTCAGAACCACGCACAGAATGAAAGCTGCCAAGGCCGACCAATCTCACAGAAAGGTAGTCAAGGAGACCCATTGGTGTTATCGTCCATCTCAAGCCCACACAAAACATCAGCAGCAAAGGTAGAACTACAGCTTCTCTCTGGCTGATAGGGTGTAACTTCTTCCTTGTCTTGCGGGAGTATTCGTGCCTTGGTGAATGGGGCGCCATCTACTATCTGAGGTGAAGAGCCTCAGAAAGCTATTGTTTTTGTTAGACTATAGCTATGGGGTATCCCCCACCAATATCATAGTGATAGGGTGGCATTTTTCTAAGACAACTGTAGAATCTGGCAGACATTATGTTCTTTGTATTCCTTTAGCCTCTTCCACCCTGAGGCTGGAATCTCCAGGTGCTGAGCATAAATTCACAAACTGAAATTTCCAAACCAGCTATAGGGTTTGGTCCCCCAGTTCCTCTTAATTTCCTATGAGAATTGGATGCACAATTCCAACAGATGGATTTGAAAAATTTCAAAGGCCAAAAGGGGCATCACACAGGCCAGAGACCCTCACCCAGTGATTCCAAACTCTCCCGCAATAATTAACCCACGCAGCTCCACGTGAGACAGACAAGCATCATCCCCTATTTTATAAGTCTCTCTTCCTTTCAGAGTGGAAACATCAGTCGTTGTTAGAAAGCAATCCTGCTTACCCGCCCCGGAATGCATTCCTTAAGGGATAAACCGGGGCGACTGGATTGATAGGGGCCTATCAGTATGCAACCCCACTGAGCGAGATCGCCGGGCAAGTGTTTGCAGTACAAATGGCGAGATGACCAAGAGGTATTCCCATGTAATTAGAAGTGGTTAGGCTGCTCACACTTTGCATCACTGCCTGTACAGAGCCATTATGGAGATTGGTTTTGCTACTGACATATAATTGTCTCTCAATATGGAACCACAAAATGTCATTACACCTGAGCACCGTGCATTGGAGGGGGCTGATCACATATGGTGAGAGCTACAGAGTGTTAGGTAGCACTACCCAGCTCCCGTTATTAATATGATGGTAGCACTAAAGGTCATGATTAGAGCTCGGGGCCCTGTTGTGCTGAGCACCGTACACATACACGCTAGAGACAGCCCCTGCCCTGCACAGCTTACTGTACATACACACGCAGATGTAACCCCCGGTCAGCGTTCACAAACTGTAGTATAGGGTCTGCACAGCTCTAGCGCTAGCCTGGTTCTTTAGCTCAAGCTGTAGTCTCATGAGCTTAGCACTGGCCCCTCGCTCAGTCCCTGGTGTTGGACGAGATGATGGCTGTCACAGAGCCATCCACCCCAGGCCAGCACTCTATGGCCCGCATGCCTAGGGTTGGCGTTCCCCCGGACCCTGGCCTGGGCCTTTTTATTTTTCGTTTTGATTATGGTTTGCAGAATCCCTTTGGCAGGAAGGAAATAAAAGCCAATCCAGTGAGAACGCTGCGTGCTGCACCTGCTCTCTGACACAGCAAGAGAGAAAGAAGCATCTCAATTCACGTCTCTGTAATTTAGCCATGTTGAGTTTATGGTGCACAAATGGTTTGTACCTTCTCCAGACGTTACCGGCGTGGTTTCCCTGGGGGAGAGCCTATTTTTTGGAAGCTATTCCCCTAGGAGGATAATGACCACTGGGGAATTCACATAAAAGGCTCTTGCAGGCGCTCTGTCACCCTACAAGCATGGAGTGGAATAGCAATGAGGTCAGGGAGCGCATGTGGGTGTACACCGGCTCCGCTCAAACAGACCATTTCTCCAGGGGCGGGGGCTGCATTCCAGCCTTTACACATCAGTCTTTTACAAGGCAAGAAGCTGGGTCTGGCTTTACTGAATAACAATTCTTTCCCAACGAATGATCACAGGCTCTCAAGGTGCAAGACAAAAAGGAAATGTGCCAACAGGCCAGCCCAAGAGCGAGGTGCAAGTACGTCTGGTGCCTCCCACAGATCACGATCACCTGCTTCTCTGTTCAGGAAACTGGTGAGTTGACGCCTTATATAGCATTTTGCAAACCTCAACATTGGCATACACAGGAATCGCTTCATGCACTGGCTGAAATGCAGCCACCTCTGGAGTGAAACGTACCAGCTGCTAAGTTGTGCATAGCAACACCTCCAATTAGGACAGGAAGCCTCTGTCTTGAGGCAGAATGTAATTGCCCAGTTTGGGACTGAGTCATAGATTCTGGGGTGAGCACACCTGCTCTGCACAAATAAAAATACCATGGGCTCTTTAGGCCCCGCCTCTAACACACCGCACGTTCAGTAGCACAGTCTGCCCTGGCCCTCTTGGGTGTCCGTGCACCCCCTGATGGGCAAGGACACAGGAGGGGGAGAATGCCATTCTCCCACTACGAGAAAGGGACCAAGAGACCTTCTCCGTTGGATCATATGAACTGGAACCATAAACTCCCTGAACATTAAATCTCACCAAATGAGGGGCAATCCATCCTCATCATCATATCCACTCATTATACTCCACACCCGAACATAGCCACTCTATGAACTTCGTACCCTCATATCTCAATGTCTGTACTTTGACCCATCAACCTTTTACCCCCAATCGGGGTCATTGCAGATTATGTATTCCTTATGCCACCCGATCTTAAACCAAACTTTGCACCCTTGATAATCTGTACGTTATTCCCTGATAACCAGAAACTTCTATGCTCAAACTCTGTTCACTTTTTTTTTTAACATCATCTTAATCAAATTTTTAAGGACCCAATAGGCACAGTGCGAGCTAGGAGGAAGTTCACGTCTCAGCAATGCTGTATTTCTGACATGAGCAAATGCAAGCTACCCTCTCCAACAGGCCCCGTTAGCCCATCTACTCGGCCAGCCGCGTGCCCCTGCCAAGAGACAATTCTGATGTCTACAGATCCTGCTGTTTACAGGTCAGCGGATCCAATTATTTGTTAAGTGGTGGGACAGAGCTGGATGGGGGGCGGGGAGCATCATTCTGAACTGGGGCACTACGCACTGCCTGCCCATGCACCATGGCGGGGTGGGGTGGGGGAGATCATAGGGATACAGGGCTTTTGGCTTTTTTCAGCCTGGCTGATTATCTCAGGCCACCTCTCACCCCCCGCCCCGTCTCTGCACATGAACCACCCTGAACTGGGATCAGCATACACTATTGCACTAATGGCTGCAGACTTCTTGCATCACGCCCAGCGCAGCCTGAAACACGCACACCTCCCTGGTTTGCTATCGGTGAGACTTTCAGGGGCTGGGGATGCCCAGTGCCCATTCAGATCTAACAGGAACCGGATGTCTGAAACTACCGATGCTCCCCCATGCTAGGTGCTGCACAAACACATCCCTGCCCTGGGAGGTGTCCGAGGCAACAGAGAAGACAGAAGAGGCGGGTGAGAGGATCGGGCTGGGGGCAGACAGGACAAAGGAGCAGCAGGAACCGGAGGCTGTAGAAGGGACCAGCCATGTGTCCAGTTCACAGATGCCGAGTCGCAAGCAAAGAAATCACCGCGTCCTCCTCCGGCTTCCCTAGCCAGTGCTGTCCTGATTACTCACAATCACCAGCTGCTCCCTTAGCCCTGCATCACTGAGGAGATGGCCACTGGCCTGGGGCCCTGGAGGAAGGAGGCGGGAAACTGAGCAGGAGCCAAAATCGTAAACCAGAAAGGAGGCACCTGCCTGTGACGGGACCCTGAACGGACGAGTTCTTACTTGGAACCAGCAGCTAAAAGGCTCCATGTCCGGCTCCCAGTCCCCCTAGCCCCTGCCCAGGCCCCGAGGTAAGATTCACTCTAACATCAGGGCTTCAATATCCTGCCCAGTTCGCTCCCAGTTCACAATAACAGGGTGTGTCCTGGCCCCAGCCTTGTCCTTAGCAGATACTTCTGCACATCACACAGCCCCCCCCCCCCGGCGACACATGGGGAAGTTTGTGCTCAGGGGAAGCTCAGGGCTGGGACAGCAATGGGGTGGAGGTTAGGAGGGAGGTGCTTTGGCAGAGCTGTGTGGATGTTTGGCAGGGATCCCGGGAGTGGCTGTGGGACACAACTGAGGAGCATCGGCAAAGGTACGGGTGCAGGGGAGAGCCCAGGGCTGGAACAGCCGGGGGGCTGCTGGTCAGGAGCGAAGAACGTTCAGAGAACGTGGGGGGAAAGGGGGGATAAGTTTGCTGCATCGTGTCTGGCTCCATTCGCTGCTGTCTCCCTTTCACAGGCACGGGCCTTCACCCCCAACTCAAAACCAGCCTGCTGCATAGCCCATGCTATGCTTTAAAATCTACGTAAGGGAGGGAACTGGCCTGATTTATTCTTTGGACTAAATCTTTCCAGGCTTCCCTGGCACAGGGTAATGAGCTCGTATTATGCAAACTATCAGGTTTGCTGAATTAATTAGGGCCCTAATCAAGATTAGACATCTCAATTATTCCCCCAAACTCTCCCCTCCCTTCTCAACAGTCAGAGGCCCCTGATATGAAAGAGAGGGAGGAAACCGCAGTGCTGGGGCTCCACAAACATACGCCCCCCCACTGCCACTGGATCACTGCAGCTGCTTGTAGCTGTCAGCCACCATGGGGTGATGATGGGAAGCCTCCCAGCCAAACAGCAGTGCTGGGCAGACCCCTGCGGTGGGGAATCTGTTGCCCCTGGAGATAATTACCCCCAGCTTTGCTGACAGTCTCACGCAGCTTCCGAATCAGACTCCCAGGCCCCTGCTGCTCCAGGAATTGGACAGGAACAAATGAAAGGGAAGCTGCGACTCATTATTCCACTGCAGGGCACTAATGAGGGAGCCAGATTGGAGCGATGCAAAGCCAAACCCTCCGCGACCTTTCCCAGGCACGGTGCATTACACCACGTGCTGTTTGGGAGTGGGGATGGGGGACTCCATGCACACTGTTCTGCTAACCATCCTCCCAATCGTTCAAGGCTCCATTCACCCAGCAGCTCCTCTGGTGCTTTTACAGTGCACGGACCCCCGCACTCCCCCTCACTGAGAAGATTCTGCTGCCTTCCTAACCCCTTCAGCACCATAGCATGTCAGCGTTCCCATCCCGAGATCCCCACCCCTGCACCACTTCCCCTCGCCCACTCAGTGCTTGGTATGCAAAATACTACACCCCAGCTTCCACCGGGAAATTTACAGTAACATGCCCTAGAAGTGTAGGTGCTTGGCCATGTAAGTGGCGCACAGACAAACACTCCTGCTTATTCGTCTCCTGGATGAGGAACCTGGCAGCACTAACAACGCTTTTCTCTGCCATAGCCCCCTTGACCCATGGATCTCAAAGAGCTTTACACAGCTACGCTCTACACTGCCTCTCCGAGGGTGAACGAAGCCATTCCTGTTTTTCAAGGCCACACAGGTGAGTCAAAGGCAGAGCTAGGAACAGAACCCGGGAAATTCTGACTCCCAGTCCCCTGATCTAATCCTCTAGGCCTCCAGAGCGTATGCCAAGGTGCCTGATCTGACCACACGTGCACCACTGGATCACTCAAGTGCTCATCAGTGCGGGTGCATCAGAAGGCAGAGCACGCATGGGTGGGGACAGTCTCCTGTAGGGCATTCAGGCTCCTCTCAAGGGTTAAATCTTCCTGTCTCATGACATGGGCATCAGCCCTGCATAATGTTTCCTGATTGCCTTGCATAATGGCTTAACTGTGCACAATTAAATCATTACATTAGGTTGCAAGGAAAGTCACTGGATCATGTCAGAAGCAATTGCCTTACCATTGTCCCCATATTGGTGACTATAATCACACGTGGCCACCCGCTTGACGGGATGCCCGCCCCGCCTCAGCTGTTATTGCATCTTTACGACTCAAATGGTGAGGCGGCTCTGGCTCGCCACAACCAGAGGACGTTGCCGGCTGCAGGTGGCACCCAGCTGCGTCTGCGGAAGGTGCCGTTATGCCTCTGCCCTGTCAAATGGCTAGTTCCCTGCAGCCCCATTGTCTTGCAGCTGTAGCCAGGCAACTGGGATGTCACAAGAGCTTCTGAAAACCCCACACGGTGTCTGTCGGCATATTTAGGCTCCTAAATACCTTTAAAAATCTGACCCTAGGAGACTTGGCACCCAACTCCCACTAGCACCCAGCAGGCGCTGGGCTCACTGGAACACATGGGAAGCCTTTTCCGGCTGAGGGGGAGGGGAGCAGTTTATTCCAAAGTCCTGGTCAGGGATATGGAAGGGACAATCAGGGCCTTGTCCAGTTGCCAAGATATCGCCCGCCTGCGATACACCAGCCAGGCCACACGTCCAGCGGTCTCCTCCTCACTGGGCAGGCTCCCGGGCCTGTGCTACGCAGGGGGTCTGACCAGCTGATCGTAATGGCTCCTTCTGGACTTAGAATTGCGGAATCATTAGGAGCTGGGCACCTCTGGCTCCTGTGACACTCCCAGTCTCGGTGTGATATCCAGCCAGGCCAGGGGCGGCTAACAACACCCTCCACTCCGCCCGCCTTGCTGGCACGCACTGAGTCAGGAGATGAGGCATCTGCTTCTGGCCCCAGCACGTAGCCCCATGGCCAGGCTAGTTCAAGGCTCCCTTCTCCCCACGCCAGCTCTGCACGGGAGGGGAGCTGGAATCCCCCCGCCCCCCTCAACAAACGAAGCCAGAAGCAAGCCCTGCTGGCCCTTCCGCCTGGTCACTGGGGCAGATCGGCCGTCTCCACCTTCAAATCACGCGTCACTTACTTACGTTTTCACGTAGGGGTCGGAGTAGCCGTTGGCATCCATGGCAGCCAGGTGTGCACAGCGGATGATGCCGACCAAGAGGCCTTGCTTCTGGGAGCTGTACTTGAGGGAGATGAGGATCCGGCCCCGCTCCTCCAGGGACTTGTCTTCTGTTTTATCTATCTGGGGGAGTTGGGGGAAGAGAAACAAGCATAACTCAGTGAGCGGTTCGTTCCACCCACAACGAAACATCCCATTGCCACCTGGAGCATTTTTTAATTTTTTTTAATATTTAAAAAATAAAAGGAAAGGAAACTTCGAAATGACTTCTTGTTTCAAATGGGACAATTGAAACACTTGCATTTTTTCAGATTTTTTTCCCGACTGAAGCAATCTGGCGAAACGGACACGGATTCACACAGTGTTTCGGGGTCACCGAAGCTGCATTTTTCACCAGAAACCCAGCTCTAGCCTTCAGCGACTTGTCAAGCATGCTGCGCTGCACTAACACACGACCTGGAATCTCTCTCCTCCCGGTACTGTGGAGGGCGGCTGGCTTTGCAGCTTTCTCCTCTGGCTGGCCCAAGTCCCAAGTCCCTCTAGGCCTCTTCAGCCTGTCAGCTGCCATGGGGGAGAGGAGGGTGTCCCCGATCAGGCTGTCACTGCTGGCCCCTTTGCAGCGCCGAGGCTCCGCAGCAGCTCTGCTGTTGGCATGTGGCCAAGCACTTCAAGGCAGAACTCCCAACGGCCAGGCTGGCGAGGGGGCACTCCCTCCACACCCGTTTGGGGAGAGGGGCCCTCAAAGCACCCCCTAAGCAGCTGAGGGAGGGTGAAGAAGTGAAAAGGAGACGAGGAGGCCGAAGGCAGAGCCCATCAGTCAAAGCTAGATTCTACCCCGCCGCCCAGTCACCCATCCCAGAGCCCTGCCCTCACTCACCGGCAGCTGCTTTTCCAGGCAGATGCTGAAGGTTTTGGTTTGGTTGGGCTTTAGCTTCTTCAGCGGGATTCTCGTCTCCCCGATGAACTCATTGTGGCGGAACTTGTCTTCGTCGCAGACGGAAATTCTGAAACACACGGGGGAGAGGAGGGGATCAGTCCTGAGACAGGCTGGCAAAAGAGGAGGGGCCAATCTGTATTTCCTGCTAACTGGGGGGTGAACTGAGCGCCACATTCAAACCCTCTGCTCCTCCCAGACCCAGTATGGCATGGGCAGCTGCAGAACAAGCTTCCTCCATGATGCCCCCCCCCCATGGGCAAAGGGAAGGCAGAGCTCTGATGCCAAGGCCCATCCAAACGCTGGCTTTTCAGGTGGAATTGCCCGACAAAGGGGCCCTGTTAGTGCCATGTGGCCATAGGGAAAATACAGTCCTAATTCACCAACTATAGACCTAATTCACCAGTTCTCCAGGGCTAAGCCTTCAAAGCATGGCCCAGAGACTGAAATGTGCGACTCTCCACCCCAAGATGAGTCAGCTCCTTCACTAAGGGCTATGCGGGCACGGTCAGAAACGGGATGTCTCAGAGGTTTAGCGTTTCTCAGTGCAGTAAGTATGGGAAGCTGTCTTCAGCACTCCAAAGAAGGGGGCCCATACCTGACTCCTCCCCATCAGAAAGAGAGGGGAAGCAGAGCAGCCATAGGTGCATATTCAAATATCATCGAAGTGCATTTCCTGAAGGATCCCAGCCCACTTTACGAAGTGTGTACACATTTACCACCATTAAAATGGAGCCACCTCTGGTTTGGGGGGCATCAGCTGATGTACAGCGGTGGAAGGGGTGAGACAATGTCAGCTGAAGTCCTGGGGCAAACTGAGTCCTGGCAATAGCACCTCTGGATCTGTAACACCCTCGCGGAGCAGGGAAGGCCTCGGGGTTCAAACATGAGCCTCCACGCACACAGCGAACCAAGTGCATCCACCTTGGATGGAAGGGTGTATCGATGCTGCTGCACTGCACCCTGGCTGCAGCTAGGTTGACTCTGCTGGTCACACTGCTAAGCCACCCCCTATGGCTTTGACTTTGGGAATTTCACTCTGCTTGGATGGGGAAACAAGGCTGGTCAGTTTCATTCTCTGGCTCTTGTGGCCTAGAACAAACCTAATGGGTGTTGGGTGAACAGGAGCACAGATTGGGGTGGGGTGGGGGAGGTGTCCAAGGAGCACCAGGAAATGAGAGCACAGTTTGCATTAAACACTGCACAGAACACAAAACGACAACAACAAAACCTCTGGTGATGAACTCGTCCCTTCCCCTCTTCTCCGCTTAACACAAGTCCTGCTGCCGAGGCCCGAACTAGCCGCCTGCCGCCTAGCCAAACTTTTCACAGCAAATTTGAAACTCAGCGAAGTAACAGGAGCAAATAGAGGCATCGCCAGGCTGGAATCTCACTCCCCTGCCACATGCTGTCAATGCTGGAAAGTTAAAGCAGCTGGGAACGTCACCTTGCATGTCGTTCCTCTGCAGCGCTGCTTTTAAACAGCTAACGAGACCCCAAATGTAGCTAGAACTAGCTCAGCAGGCTGACCGGGGAGATGCTGCAGATACAGCTCCAGGTGGGGGCTTCAAAGCTCCAAGCCCTGTACCTGACAGACGGTGTTAGACTGTGCTCACAGCTCATTTCCTGAGAGCGACAGCACCACCACAGCATCAAGGGAACAACCTGCGGATCTCAAACAATACATGCTGGAGGAGGCAGGCTGGGGCTGGTGATCAAAGCAGGCGTGGGACTCACGCTCGCTCTTGCGTGTGCCAGTTTGCACCCAAGCGTGAAATGGAATAAGACTCTCCCACCCTCAGTCCCCCTTGTTAGCAATGAAACACTAATGCATGCAACTCTGCTGCTTGCAGAGAACAATATAATCTGCCTGGCCAGCGCGCGCTCTCTCTCTCTCTCTTACACACACACACACACACTCTCTCTCTCTCTCTCTCTCTCTCTCTCTCTCTCTCTCTCT